ACTGTTACTAAATATCCTAGAGTTTGGTATAAAAGTAACTTTACTTGTCCTACTGTAACCAAATATCCTAGAGTTTGATATAAAAGTAACTTTACTTGTCACTGTAACTAAATATCCTAGAGTTTGGTATAAAGGTAACTTTAATTGTCCTACTGTAACTAAATATTCTAGAGTTTGGTATAAATGTAACTTTACTTGTCCTACTGTAACTAAATATCCTAGAGTTTGGTATACAAATAACTTTACTTGTCCTACTGTAACGAAATATCCTAGAGTTTGGTATAAAGTAACTTTAATTGTCCTACTGTAGCTAAATATTCTAGAGTTTAGTATAAATGTAACTTTACTTGACCTACAGTAACTAAATATCCTAGAGTTTGGCATAAAAGTAACTTAAATTGTCTTACTGTTACTAAATATCCTCGAGTTTGGTATAAAAGTAAATTTAATTGTCCTACTGTAACTAAATATCCTAGAGTTTGGTATAAAAGTAACTTAAATTGTCTTACTGTTACTAAATATCCTAGAGTTTGGTATAAAAGTAAATTTTATTGTCCTACTGTAACTAAATGCCAAAGACTTTTATAATAAGATGGCTATTGTTGTTAAATGTTGAAATACGAAGCTCAATAGGAGTAGTAAATGAAAGCTTTAATTTCAACTTCTGGAGGCTTAATCAGACACAGGTAGTTCTCTAAAGGATAAAACATGACCAATGGATAATATTAACTGCCACACGATCGAACTACATTTTTAAAGGCGTTTCGCGGAAACAAAGAACAAAAAGACTGCTGATGTCAAGAATAAAGGGAAATGGTTCAAATGACGAAGTGATAGACTCGATTATCTCATACGCAGAACAATACGGTGTAAACGTGACACATGTTAAAATCTTGAAGTTCTGGAATACCGACGATGCTAACTATACAGCACGTCTGCACGTTCTTGAAAGCGATTATGAAACAGCAATACAAAATCACTTCTGGCCGGAAGGCGTTCTTGTTAGAGATTGGTACGAGCGCACTGAAAGGCGTGATTCGCGAAACCAATACAGTGACAATTCAAAAGGATACAACGAAATTTACAATGCATACGATGGCTACAGCAGTAGAAACAGGCGTAACCAAAATGAACGCGATTACACAGCTAGCTGGAACGATTTCGGTAATGGCTGCGATTAGAATAACTATACTTATTCTACTGGTGACCGTCAGTATGAAAATTCAATCGTGGAACATGCGTGGTGTCATGTACGGTACACCTTATCTGTGTGACACATTAGAACACTTGGCTATTTGTGTTATAATGGAACATTGGTTAATGCCTGAACACAATCGGGTTTCTGAACACAATCGATACCAATTTTAAAGTATTCGGTAGACATGATAACAGGATACCCCTGGAACTAGAGAATAGAAATGGTCGGGGTTTCGGCGGAGTAGCTATACTGTGGATAAACGACTACGTGTCTCACCGTTACTGCATGATGGAAGTGACAGGATTATTGGTGTTCGTATTAAAACAGCTAACTCCTACGTTTTCGTCTTTGGTGTACTTATGCCTTCATCAAACTTGTCTACAGCTAAATATATTGAATCGCTCGACATTTTATCCGATATGTATGATCGATACGTTGAAGAGGGAACTGTAATTGTTATGGGTGATTTTAATGCTCAAATTTCCCAGCAGTTTGGTGATAAAAATCATACCGAATCAAACAGTAAAGGAAAAATATTAAAAAAATTCATGCAAGAGAGACAACTTACCTCTGTCAATTCTCAGACTTGGTCCTCTGGCGGGAACTATACTTACCTCTCAGGAGATGGCAACACCGCGAGTATGATTGACCATATACTTTTGTGTGACTCAAAAATAGATCTAGTCGACTCATGTACGATATGCGACGACCATTTTTTGAACGTGTCAGATCACTTACCAATTAAAATTGTGATTCGCGCTGAACTAGCAAGATGTACTGACCATATGCCTCTTCGCTCGGTTAACTTGAAAGCAATAGACGATGAGCATATCCGAAACTATCAACAAGTTACAGAATCGTTACTAGGCTCTATATATGTGTCCGACTCACCCGATATTGATGTGCGTGCTTGTGATATAGTGCAAGCATTGGAAAAAGCTGCAGAGTCAACACTTCCTTATAAAAAGTACAGACATTATTTAAAGCCATATTGGAACTATGGAACTGTCAAATTACTACACGCGGAAATGAGGCACTTAAGATGTAAATGGATAGAAACTGGACGTCCACGCGGTAACGCATTCGAATCGTACAGACATTACAAAAATGCAAAAAGGAAATTTCGAAATGAACTAGATCGGGCCAGAAATGAATACGAACAGGAACAATTTCGCAAACTAGAAACGTATGCTGAAATTGATTCGGGAACATTTTATAAAGCTGTGCGAGCAAAGCGAAGGGATACATCAACTTCAAACGAGCTACGTATCGACGGTCATGTTTTACGCGATAGCGATACTATTAGGAATGCGTGGAGAGATCACTTTAGTAATCTCTCAAAACCGTTAACGCAACCGCATTTTGATGAAGATCATCGACAGCAAGTACACGCGAGTGTAAAGGAAATGTTTAAAGAAAGTCACAATAATTTGGACGGTGTATGTGAAAACTTAATACATACAAAAGAACTGAAAAGCGCACTATCGAAAATGAGCAATGGAAAAGCGGGAGGACATGATGGTATCGTTATTGAGCATATAAAGTTACTGGGAGATAAAAGTTTGAGCGCTATCGTTGCCCTATTTAATAAAATTCTGGAAATAGAACGTTACCCGTCACACTTTAGATACGGATTAGTTATAACTCTGTTTAAAGGTGGTAAGAAGGACAGACTTGATGTGAATAACTACCGAGATATTACGTTAACACCGGTTCTTCAAAAACTCCTGGAAAAGATATTATATTTTCGGATAACATCCGTATGTTCCGAAATGGTCTTTCCTCACCCCCTCCAGCAGGGATTTCGCCCGCAATGCGGTAGTATCACGGCTGCCTTTATAGTACAGGAATCAATTGCTCACTACGTAGAGCGTGGATCGAAAGTTTTTGCCGCCTTCCTGGACAATCAAAAGGCATTCAACAGTGTGTGGATTGAGGGACTTATGTACAAGCTATATAATATCGGCTTTAACGGAAAATGTTGGCGGTAACTCTTCGTTTTATTTCAAGATGCGTACTCTTCAGTCTTATAGGAAAGGAAAAGGAGTGATAAATACCCTATTTTACAGGGAGTAGGTCAGGGAAGGACATTATTCGCGTGGTGTTTTTTAATTGTTATAAACGATTTAATCGTTCATCTAGACGAGCTTAGTCAAGGGCTGAAACTCGGGAGTCATCACATCCCGTGCGTTTTCTTATCGGATGATACGTTATTGCTTGCAGCGTCCAAATGTTTAGTGCAAAAACAAATAGATGTGGTATATTCATATGCTAGCAAATGGAGACTCAACTATAACCATTCAAAAAGTTCAGTGATGGAATTTACAACTAGTCAGAGCAGGTCCAATGCTAGAAACTGCCTAATACCATGTACGCTGAGGGACAAAATTCTGCCGTGGTCTGATTGTAATAAATTTGCTGGAATACACTTCACCAGAAGTCTACAGTCGAATACCGGCATTTCCGAATCTTGTTCTAAAGGAAGGAAAGTTTTAAACTCGCTATTAGGTATCGGATTACACCCATATGGACTAAATCCGCTCACAAGTGTTACCATTATAAAGCGCATAATCATACCTGGTATGACATACGGATGTGAATTATGAAACGACTACAACCAGACATCTGCGGACTTACTAGAACGCACCCAACGATATGCCTGTCGGCACTGTCTAGGGCTACCAAAACGTTCATCGACTGCCGTTACAACTCAATGTCTAGGCATATACGATATAGCAAAGGAAATCGAAAGTAAAAAGTTGATGTTCTGGAACAAGCTCTGTAATGGAACTATGGATTTTATGTGGAAACTCATTTTTATTGTTAGAATGAGCAGTTTTTTGTATGGATATTCATCGGTAAACCAACGAGGATTTATTCCAGACGTTTGCAAAACATTCATGAAATTTAAAATACAGTGTCTATTCAGAGACTTTATCGTTAGCCCGATAACTATACCAAAATACGCATGGAAACGCTTTTTTGACAAATTTGTGTCAGACCGGTATTACAATAAATGGAGAGAAAAACTGAGTGAAAAACACGAACTCCGACGTTACTCTGTGATCCATACGACACGAGGCCCTAGCCCGTTATTACTTCTAAGCTTGAAATATAGACCGTTTACGTGGGACATAGTGTATATCCTCAAATTATCATTTACTTGGGAGAACACTGGCGTTGTTTGTAAACTGTGGTCGAAAGAAAGTAGTGATATTGTGACACACTTTGTCATCGAATGTCCAGCCCTATTTTATAGTAGAGATATGTTTTTAGAGAAAGTTGTAGACTGTATAAATGTGAATTCATACGCTGACTTCTCATTTTTGGAAGAAAGCGACCAAACAAACTTCCTTCTTGGAGATCGAACTAAAGTATCACTACCAGATGACGAATGGGAGCAACTTATGCTAGCAGTAGCCACCAATATTAAACACCTCTTGAAAGATATGAACTCTGTTCTGTAGATGTTTCCCGATATTCTGTAATATGTGAAATGTGTCTTTATGTGTATAATCTCTTATGTAAGAGGAAATAAAGAATATCTATCTATCTATCTATCTATCTGTCTATCGTACTGACATTTTGCTTAATTCTTTTGTATATACATATATTAATACATTTTTGATGTTTTTTACTTCTCATTTGGCATGTGTCATCTAGTTCAATTAACTGTAGCTGCAAATGTTTTAATGTAATGGCACTAGGTAAGCTTAGGGTTAAAACAAAATCGATTCCTTCAGCGACACTAAATAATTGCTCCGCAGTTTGTCAATAGTATGTGTCTGTTCGATATGAGAGATTGTCAGGTCGTTTCTCTATAAATGTATAACACAGGCTAATGTTTTCATATAACGACCGGATCAGGAGAAATGACAACTGTTCGCATTTCAACTCGCTACCACCTTCTTTTACTGTTCCTTGTCATGATAACAGGTAAGTACAATAGTACATGTATTATTGTGTCATTGTTACATGTAAAATGGACAAAAGGTTTCGTTTTGTTTGGCTTTTCAATATTTTGTCAAAACTAAAATAAAACGCAAAAAAAAAAGACGATTTGATTGACGTGAATTTGATTAAGAAATGCGTTATTTAATATTATTCAATTCGATTCTGTGTCTCAAGAGTAGATTTAACATTTTATATTTCATAATATGATTCAATACTCCTATTTTATATTCATTTATTATATTTATATTAATTGAGTGAATTGAATATTCAGTGATTAGATAAAATGTTTGTTAATAAATTTGCTAATTAGATTTAATTTTCAGACATTGTGTTTATTATTCTGTGAATAAAGAACTAGGGGCGTAACGGGCCATTTCTGGCCTCATTAGAGATTTAGAATTATTCATATATTCGTAATCTTGAATAAATGAAGTACGCAATTACGAAATTTCAAATTCATTCGACCACTAGTTTAGGAGATATGGCATTACAAAGAGAGACATAAGCCCGCATTTTCGTAATAAAATGCGCGAATATCTGTTGTGTGCTCTTTGGTTGAAAATTGGCCATTTAGAAGGAAATTGACTAAACACTCCTCATTTTTTAAAGAGTCGGCATGCACCAAACAAATTAATATTTGACATGCTTAAACATTGTCATACCAGTGTTCATTAGCAGAAAGCAATTTTTGTTTGTCACATGCAGATGCTTTAATTTTTGCATGCTAACTCTCCAAAAACACTATATTTTTGTCTATTCTTGCATAGCAACGCAATTTTTTGCTATGGTAGGGAATTTACGCATGGGCATAAGAAAAAATACTCACCAAGAAAGATATCCCCATTTAACCAATATGATGTTTATAACAGAAATTTGTAAATAAATTCAATTTGAAACTTATGAGGCCGATATTGACCCATAACACCCTAATTCCTTTAGTTTTTAAAGATTATATTTACATTTAAATTTAGTTTTAGAGATTTCATTTAATATTGATTGATTAGATTTAATATTGAGTGGTAAGATATTTCGTATTTAGTAATTAAATTTAGTACTTAGTGAAATGATTTTGTATTCCGTGGTTTGATGTAATATTCAGAAGTTAAATTTGATATCCATCGATTGCATTTGGTATTTAATGAAAAGATTTATTTTTCAGTGTTCAGATAATATTATATAAACACGAGTGATAGTTTCACACAAATTCATCACATGCATGATCAAATTCCACTTAAACTTCTCCGATTGTTAAAATAATGAAATTGTAAACTACATACAGACAGACATTCTTTATTTCCTCCTTTAGGAGATTTCATATGTCAAAACAGTTTTACAAAATGTGTCTTAATTTATATATAAACATCGTTTTGAGAAGTAAATGTATTAAATAATGACGTATTGGACATTCATATAACTGCATTATATAATTCATAATACAAAATGTTCACTACAATATATATTCCTCATACATCTTTTACATATATACGTTTACACTTATATATACATCAATAGGTTAATTATAGAAAACTCTCCATCTCACATACCATTCCTTTGATATTTCCAGCCATATTTATCATTAGTGTTTCCCACTCTATATCAGTCAAGTATACATGTGAATGATCGCCAAGTAAAAAGCTGCACTGGTCTTCAATGCTTAGTTCTGAAAACTGTACATATGACAATACTTCTATAGCATTTACAACACCATCCATCATTTTATCACGGCTTAAGTATAAACCTGGACATTCTAATATAAAATGCAACACAATATCTTTACTTGTTTTCTCACATATCTTACATATAACCAATTCATTCTCACAAGATATTGAGTATTTAAATAACTCTACTAGATCCCATACATGTTGTTGAGAAATTTGTTTAGTGCTTAGTTGCAATATTGGATTTATTCCCGGATCACTATGGATAGCAGCATATCTCTTATGTTCATCACGTGTATTTAGTTTATCTGTCCACCTTATATAATAAAAATCATATATAAATCTATTAATGAAACGTTTCCAGCATAACATCGGTGGTACGAATATATTTAGAACATAGTCATTGATAAATGACTCTATATTAAATTTAACCATTATGTTATATATATCAGGCAGAAATCCTATTTGAGTAGTTGATGAACTACCATACATAAATTGGCATAGTCTAATAATAAAAAGTGTTTTCCATAAAAACTTAGCACCACCTAAACACAATTTGTTCCAAAATAATAGTTTCCTTCTCTCCACTTCGCTCCACATATCAAATGACCCTAAACACTGAGCAGTCACTGCTGTGGAGGAAGTTTTAGGAAGACCAATACAACGTCTACATGCATATCTCTGTGTACGTTCCAACTCTTCTACAGCTTGCTTAGTATATGAATTCCAAAGCTCACAACCATACAACATACTTGAATATACAACACTTTTAATAATATTAAAACTTAATACAGGGTTCAGCCCATTGGGGTGAATACCAATACTTAAAAGTGAATTTAGGTTAGTCCTTCCTTTCACACAAGCATCAAAAATATTACTGCTTGATTGTAGGTTATGGAGTAGATTTAACATTTTATATTTCATAATATGATTCAATACTCCTATTTTATATTCAGTTATTATATTTATATTAATTGAGTGAATTGAATATTCAGTGATTAGATAAAATGTTTGTTAATAAATTTGCTAATTAGATTTAATTTTCAGACATTGTGTTTATTATTCTGTGATTAAAGAACTAAGGGCGTAACGGGCCATTTCTGGCCTCATCAGAGATTTAGAATTATTCATATATTCGTAATCTGGAATAAATGAAGTACGCAATTACGAAATTTCAACTTCATTCGAAAACTTGTTTAGGAGATATGGCCATTATGAAGAGAGACATAAACCCGCATTTCGTAATGAAATGCGTGAATATCTGTTGTGTGCTCTTTGGTTGAAAATTGGCCATTTAGAAGGAATTTAACTAAACACTTTTCACTTTTTGAAAGAGTCGGCATGCACCAAACAAATAAATAAACATTGTCATACCAGTGTTCATTGTCATACCAGTGATCATTGTCATACCAGTGTTCATTAGTAGAAAGGAATTTTTGTTTGTCACATGCGGAGGCTTTAATTTTTACATGTTTTATTACGTGATTAAATTTAGTTTTAGAGATTACATTTAATATTGATTGATTAGATTTAATATTGAGTGGTAAGAGATTTCGTATTTAGTAATTAAATTTAGTACTTAGTGAAATGATTTTGTATTCCGTGGTTTGATGTAATATTCAAAAGTTAAATTTGATATCCATCGATTGCATTTGGTATTTAATGAAAAGATTTATTTTTCAGTGTTCAGATAATATTATATAAACACGAGTGATAGCTTCACACAAATTCATCACATGCATGATCAAATTCCACTTAAACTTCTCCGATTGTTAAAATAATGAAATTGTAAACTACATACACTGTATGTCACTCGACTACGGAACGTTTCGCCTGTCGGTAGAGAGTGTATACACAATTTATCGAATAGGCACAGGTTGGATGTAGATCTCGCACCCTCTCCCGTCGGGCTGTTTAGCGTAATCTGTTAATGCCGAATTGGGTACTGGTGGGAAATGTTTTGCGTGTGTTTCTGGTAAAATAGGTGTTGCTAATATTCTACGTCCTTTTGATCTTCTATGAAACGTGTTTCAAACTTGCATTGAATTTGGTATATAGCTGCCGGTTTTTGTTATGAATACCAGTCTTGTCTTTTGCCTAATGGGTGTGCATATGGTCTCATCGGGTCGCTAGAATATTGTTTTCTCATCATACTGGCTAAAGTCTCAGACGTCCCTTTTACGTAGGGTATAATGACCCAACCTTTGCATTGGTTTGGCTCTCGTCTCTTTCGCTTGTCTCTGTTTTTATTTTATTTATTTTATTAAAACTTTTTTCACGTTGTTAATTGACCAGTCGGGGAAGTTACAACGGTTGATGTCAAGGAGTGTACGTAAGACTCCAAGCTTCTGGTGTAGTGGATGGTGCAAATTGGAAACCAAATACTGATCGGTGCGTGTCGGTTTGCTTAACTAGATGAACATAATTATTGTTGTCAATGAAGCAGAAACTGCATCACCTTTTGCAACACATAATCTTATTCTCCTTGGACTTTACAAAAGATCTCAATATAAATATTTCTTTATGTCAAATTTCTTGTTCTGTCTATTATGAGGTCCCTTTTAAGGTCAGTTTTGTTTATATTTTAACATTCTCAACTTTTTCGTGTCGATAAAAGGTTATATAAGTTTATATAAGGTCTACTCTTTTTCAGATTAATTAACCGATTAGTGGTTTGTTCCTGTTCCATAGCTAGGTATTTTGTTTAAACAAAAGGGCGACGAACAGTGTGCATCAACTATTTGATTTACACTGTTTTCTACGAACATCTCTGATTTTTTGTCTAATCGATGGCATGGGAAAATAAAACAGGTTCAGCTTTGGTAGAAATATATATATTATTTTTTCACTTATAAAGTGGATTTGTTTATTCAATTATATTTACTGAAGCAGATTTTTATTATTATTTTTACATTTTAATTGTATAATTATATAAATAAATATGTATATATCGTTTCAAACAATATATGAATGGTAACATTTGTTTTCAGAAACACGATCGGAAGATTTCATTTCAACATATTTTCAAGCCGTAAATGACGTTGATGTTGTTGGCCATACGGACACGTGGACGAGACAGGAACAGCTGATCAGGAACAGGACGAGATGTACCTCCCTGTGTGTAGCGAGTGCGTGTGAGTGCGCGTCCTTTACGTACGACGGGGCGACTGGTACCTGTTATATGTTCACTAAGACAGTGAGCAGCGGCGGCGGGTCCGGAAAAGGTGCAAACAAACTCACAGGTAAACATCCGAAAAAAGGATTGGCATTTTACATAGAAGCAAATGAGGCCTTTTTACGTACATAGTTTTCCGTGGATTAATTAGCTGTGCTGTTGAATTTCCTATTTTGTCAATGTTTGTATGTTGAAACTTTCTGTTATCACGGGTTATCGAAGGTTATTGTAAATTGCATTGTCGGAGAGGGCCGAGGAATGATGAGAACTTGTCCCCATTTCGTTGGAGTATAATCAAACATGTTAAATACATATATTCACAGTATTCTGGATGTTTTATCGACTCTTCCTGTGTTGTATTTGATATCTTCATACAAAATAATGCCGTCTTTAATATCGCTCATTATTATAGTCAATCGTTTTAAGGAGTGGTCACAAGAATACGTAAGCATCGTCGTAAGTTAATTAAAACAAAATACAAACAACATTTTTAGGGCACACTACTCAGTTCATGGTGTTGGTCCGTGATATAGGCTACAATACAACATTCTGATGTACACGCACAAAGCACATACTTGAACAACTCTAATATTCAAAATACAGTACTTAACGATCACTAAAAGCTCATTAAAACGTGTTTCGGAGAGGTATCAGGCGCCCTGTCGATAGGCTAACCATCGGACACCAAAATGTCGAAAACGCTCGTCGAATTCATGATGGCGCTTTACTCACATTTTCACGTCTGCTTTTTAGAATTTTGGCAGACGTTTTGGTTTTAGTTCTTTTGTCCATAGCAAGGATGTTAGTGATATGGAGCTCACTATTTTTCATTAACAGTCGTGTAAACTGTATGTCTCCCTATATTTAGACGAAGAACAGCCACACGCAATGGAGTTATACTTTGATACCATTTATATGCTTATGAAACTCTTGTAAAACAATTATCAATAATGTACTGTAAAAAGCTCCAAATTCATTTTTGTTATCCTGGGCGATATTGATATGCTGTATTGCATTGCCATGTTGATAAAATATTTTCCGGACTTTTCTTTTCTAAGAAATATTATATTATGTTTCTGTTACTAGAATGTGTAGTGCCAAGGGTTATAGAACATTCCATTCTTACTGACTACACGGGGTGCAATGCCACCTACGACTGTGTGTTCGGATACAATGCAACTGATCACAACGTCCTAACCTGTCAGGCAAACGAGACCTGGGCTCCCAGCGGGTTTTCCTGTGCTGAAATACGTAGGTATCATATTATGACAGCTATATTGGATTTAATGTCTGGTTTGAAGATGTTCATTGATTACAAACTTTTACACATGTGAAAAAAAGTTACATGTTCACTATGCATCGAAATATACAATGTACGGTATTCATACAATGTAGATTTTATATTGACCAATCAGAACGGTCAATAATATTTACTGTAGATTTTATATTGACCAATCAGAACAGTATATAAAATTTACTGTATATTTTATATTGACAAATCAGAACGGTATATAATATTTACTGTATATTTTATATTGACCAATCAGAACGGTATATAATATTTACTGTAGATTTTATATTGACCAATCAGAACGGTATATAATATTTACTGTATATTTTATATTGACAAATCAGAACGGTATATAATATTCAATGTCGATTTTATATTAACAAATCAGAACTGAATATAATATTCAATGTCGATTTTATATTGACAAATCAGAACTGTAAATTATATTTACTGTCGATTTTATATTGACTAATCAGAACTGTATATTATATTTACTGTCGATTTTATATTGACTAATCATAACTGTATATTATATTTACTGTCGATTTTATATTGACAAATCACAACGGTATATAATATTTACTGTCGAATTTATATTGACCAATCAGAACTGTATATAATATTAACTGCCGATTTTATTTTGACAAATCTTAACCGTATATTATATTTACTGCATCGAAAGATGCAGATTCATTTTCCATTCCAGCTGCAGAATAAGTATCGATAGAACAAATAGTTGTTTCTAAATATTTAACAATACTGAATAATTGAGTACATTATTGCATTTTAATCGTACCAGATAATTGTCCAAAACGATTTTTTTTAGTTCGAAAGCTTACTCAAAATCGCGTGTGCAACCTTGTTTCGCCAATAATATTCGTGGTCGCACTTTAAAATAAAAAATAATAATTCTTAAATGTCTGTGGAACACAATATATATTTCACTGCTATGGCACACTATACGGTTATATTTGCTCTCGCTCTTCAGTGGTGGAAAATATGGATATTCTGCAATAGTAGTGCAATAAATATGAATATGATTATTCAACGGGACACCATCAAATACTTTTATCTTCTGACTGATTAATAGTTAATTTTGAATGAAGAAAGTGTTTCCAATAGCGATAATAATAAAGTTTTAATGGGATCGTTAATGTGAAAAAGATTGTGAATTCGATAATATTTTATTTATTTCATTCATATAGATTATAGGATTGAACCCTTCTTTGTTACTAGGACATGCAGACACATAAAGATATGTGTCATTAATATTTTTCAATAAAAACCATTCTGTATTCAATAGTTCTTCTGTATGTTACGATTGATATTGTCTACTTTACCTAAACGCTGAAAGGTACTCAGGTTTTGAGAATGGAGGCAGTAGGACTCGATATATGTATTTCACAAGGTTTGAACAAATTTCTATGTGCGCCCTGCAATCATTTAATAGATTAAATCTTCGTTATGTTTACAAACTGTCGGGTACTTAATATTCCTATCAACACTATGGAGTCTAGTAAATTAATTTTGAATCAATCAAACAAAGTTAATGACATATAACTTAATAGATCCAAGTCGTCCTTAACATATGGTTATTGAGATGTATATTTACAGGTCCCTTTATCTAAAAAATCATTTCACTTTTGCCAGTGAAATACCGAATTCTATAAATTATGTAAAATTGATATCTTTTACACGTGACAGTTATCAAAAATTACATTTTCACACTTTTGGTATTGACCAATCATAAAGGAACTTTGTACTAAGTTCATTAAAAGTCGCAGATTTGCAGAGAGTTCCGGTATGGATGAAGCGATGGTAGAATAAGTGTCTGTTTTGGTACAACTTTGCTTATATACACTGATGTATTAACTACCTACACAATTGATATCATTTATGAAAGCACAAATTTTACCAAACAAGAGCCAGAATATGTCAATTATTTTGAAAAGCCATTCTAAATGGCGTGCAGCCTTGTTGACAAGCATGACGTCATTAAAACATGGCGCCAAGGATTTTGCTATTATATCCTCAACGTTTTCGATTCAGTAACATTTCCGTTTTTGTTTTCGGGTTTTTTCCGAGGTTTTCAAATGTAATAACTAGATCATCTAATGCTTTCTCGCTGAATGTCACATAAATAAATATATACTATATATATATCACACATATGTCAGAATATACTGATATTTCTACTCGTGCATGTTTTTGCACCTGTGAAAAATAGTGGTATTCTGCCATTTTACTACTTTTAGTTACATAATGAAGTATTGGTAACATAAGATGGAATTCGAGAAGATTCTCGTCCCAACGAAGTTTCCTTATAGCTCAAGAATATGTCTCAATGTCTTAAATAAGTCTGCATTCATTGAAACCTCGGACTATTTCTTGATCAGCGTGCCCGGATCCAGCAGAGCTTGCAAATGGTATTCCAACGGTGACGACATTGCAAGTAGGAGGTGTCGCCACCTATACCTGTCTGTCGGGTTATATAAACAGGGGAGGAGTCGGGGACACGCTTACCTGTCAATTAGGAGGCACGTGGCTAGGAGTCATCGACATGATATGTAAGTCACTAGCGTGATCAGTTCAGAAGTGATGACGCCTTCATTTAATGGATTTAGTAATATTGCTTTCTGATAAAGAATTATTCATATAATGTGCTTTATAAATTAGCTACTGGAATTATACACTACTGAAATACATATACGTCGTCATAGATTTCAACATCTATGAATTTGATCTGAAGAGTTAAAAGCCGCGTCTTAAACATAACGAGATATTGGACAAGTAGTCGATATAACCTTGTCCAGTGTTCTGACCAAACGAAAGTACCATTTTTTAAGTTTGAGACATTATATCGTCACGCGTTCTGACCGAACGAAACTACTATTTACTTTAGTTAGAGAAAAGTAAATATCATATATATATTATACATAATTTTCTCGTTCCTTGAATCCATTGGCTTAAGAATACCACAAGTTTGTGGAAAATGATGCTAGCTTACGTTTAACATACCCGATTAATGCGGAACGTTATGTCTACACCACATCACTTTACGCCAATTTTTTTTTGGTATAAACTTTCATTATCATTGTGACTGTCGTGTGTTTACAGGCAAGCCTATAGTTATTCGGTACACGTTCTACTGGACAACTGCTGATGTCCTGTTCGCCGGCACAGATGCAATAGTCTGGGTACGGATGTACGGGGCCTACGGGACGCAACAAGTCACCATGCCTTCAAATATGTTATTTGAGAGAGGAATATCGGAATCAAACTTGGTAAATGGTATATTTGAAATGACACAATTTCATGATAAATTATTTAAGTAATTGATAGCACAGGTTGCCAAGGATTGAAGTTGATGATGACTATGGGTATAAACTATTATCTAAAGCCGCAATCATAATTTTATTCGGAAAATAGTATACATTATATGGCGTTATGGATATGCTAAAGGACTGCGAGGAAATATCTTCAAAGTCTGGGTCCTCTTGTTGCTCTGTAAAAGGTCTATTGGATCTTTTTGTTTTGTCTAACTTGACCTTGTGTGTTGATTCTGGGGTAATTTTGATCTTGTGTGTTGATTCTGTGGTAATTTTGTCTTTATGTGTTGATTCTATGGTAATTTTGTCATTGCGTGTTGATTCTGTTGTAATTTTGTCATTGTGTGTTGATTCTGTGGAAATTTTGTCATTGTGTTTGATTCTGTGGTAATTTTGTCAAGGAGTATTGATTCTTTGGTGTTTTTTGTCTTTACGTGTTGATTCTGTGGTAACTTCGTCCTTATGTGTTGATTCTTTGGTCTTTTTGTCCTTGTGTGTTGACGTTGTGGTATAATGTTTTTCTTTAGCTTTGACGCTGTGGTACATTTTGTTCTTGTGTGTTAAAGCTCTCTTATATTCTGTGTGAACGATAATATATCTTTTGTCCTTTTGTTTAGACGCTATAGTTCATCCGTTTGATAGTCTTTGGTCCTTGTGTATTGACGTTCCGGTATACCTTGTACTTGTGTATTATAGTGTAGGTATATTTGACTTTGTGTGTCGACGTTCAGGTAAACTTTGTACATGTGTATTGAAGTGTAGGTATATTTGACTTTGTGTGTCGACGTTCAGGTAAACTTTGTGCATGTGTATTGAAGTGTAAGTATATTTGACTTTGTGTGTCGACGTTCAGGTAAACTTTGTACTTGTGTATTGAAGTGTAGGTATATTTGACTTTGTGTATGGACGTTCAGGTATACATTGTACTTGTGTATTGAAGTGTAGGTATATTTGACTTTGTGTTTGACGTTCCGGTATACTTTGTACTTGTGTATTATAGTGTAGGTATATTTGACTTTGTGTATGGACGTTCCGGTACTTGTGTATTGAAGCATTGGTATATACTGTACTTATATGGTGTATACTGTACTTATATGGTATATACTATACTTATATGATATAAACTGTACTTATATGGTATATATTGTACTTATATGGTATATACTGTACTTATATGGTATATACTGTACTTATATGGTTTATACTATACTTATATCTTATCTACTGTACTTATATGGTATATACTATACTTATATGATATAAACTGTACTTATATGGTATATATTGTACTTATATGGTATATACTGTACTTATATGGTATATACTGTAGTTATATGGTATATACTATACTTAAATGGTATATACATGTACTGTACTTATATGGTATATACTGTCCTTATATGATATATACTGTACTTATATGGTATATACTGTACTTATATGGTATATACTGTACTAATATGGTATATACTGTACTAATATGGTATATACTGTACTTATATGGTACATACTGTACTTATATGGTAGATACTATACTTATATGGTATATACTGTACTTATATGGTATATACTGTACTTATATGGTATATACTGTAGTTATATGGTATATACTATACTTAAATGGTATATACTATACTTATATGGTATATACTGTACTTATATGGTATTTATTGTACTTATATGGAGTTTACTGTACTTATATGGTATATATTGTACTTATATGGTATATACTGTACTTATATGGTATATACTATACTTATATATACCTATATGGTATATACTATACTTATATGGTATATACTGTACTTATATGGTATATACTGTACTTATATGGTATATACTGTACTTATATGGTATATACTATACTTATATGGTATATACTGTACTTATATGGTATATGCTGTAGTTATATGGTATATACTATACTTATATGGTATATACTATACTTATATGGTATATACTGTACTTATATGGTATATATTGTACTTATATGGTATATACTGTACTTATATGGTATATACTATACTTATATGGTATATACTGTACTTATATGGTATATACTGTACTTATATGGTATATACTGTACTTATATGGTATATACTGTACTTATATGGTGTATATGACTCGTTACGATTCGGTAAACAAATTGAACATTAAACTTTTCTTTCAAAATTTGTTTCAGTTAAACTTGAACGATGTCGGACCACTCACCAGAATCGATATAGGGCATGATCATGGTGGCCCTGGTTCCGGCTGGATGCTGCAAACGGTAATCAAATATCTTCAAGACACGATGGTATTAAATTTTAACTAGGTGAATCTTTTCCGTTCAGCATTTGATAATATTTTCAACCATGTCATATACTGATTTCTGTTGAATCTGTTATACATTTAATACAAATCTAGGTTGGCATATATACCAGTGAACAAATTTCAGAAAAAAAATGTAAAATGAAGATTTTGAAATGACCCACATAATAGTATGTCTGTGATCAGAAGAATCAGACAAACACTGTCCAATGTTTGATTCCGTTTTGGATCAAAGTATACGTGCTTCAGATAAAACTAGAAGATATACAAAGATGTTCAGATTCACAACATAGAAGTCTTATTTTTTTTGTTTTATCTTCGTTTCCATCAGGTAACCATAGCGATGGATGGAATTGGTTCCTACTACTTCAATGTCAATGCATGGCTAGACAACCCACCGCAAATTACAGTGTATACTTCATAGGAAGTGAGGTAACAACAACAAACAGTCCAGGGCCCGGGATCATGAAACGGACTTAAATCTAATTCTGGACTTAAGTCCAAAGTTTTTTGACTTAAGTCTAAAAACAGACTTAGCTTGGGGATCATGAAAATAAAAATGATCTTGAATATGGCGGACATATCGTACGCTTCAGGTGCCCGTCTGCTCCATTGAGAGAAAGGAAGAGACATTTCGTCCAGAGTATTTCTAGACCATTTACTTTTAAAACTTCCAATTAATTCAGGACTAATGGAGAGTTTCACAAACGTGATATTGATTCAAATGACCATCTTGAGGCGGTCCACATCGTTATCCAACAAGATCATTGAAGTTTCCCACCATTCAACTTTCCAACCATCTACACTCGCTGGCTCAGCTTGTCCGAGAATCATTCACAGGAAGACATGATGAAATGTTAATCTTGAGTCTCATTTTATTGTAGACGTGTACATCCCAATAAAAAAACATACTTATGTGTAGACCTAATAGACCTCTGCAAAAGCGCCGCTTCCTCGACGGTACCGTAATAAAACTAATAAACGCTCTCATTTGCGAGATCACAATTATCACCGTACTGCGGATGAAACGAAGATGTAGTGTTCATTCTAGCCTGAATAAATCTTTATTTTGATAATCATACATTGCTTAGAGAATTATTACTTTCTAGCTGGTTTCTTTTTATATAGTTGTACAATTGTAACTAGTTGTATTATTACACAAGAAAAAAAGTGATAGACTTTAAATATTTAACCAGAATTTGCAATATATATATTTGAATATAGTCAGTCAGCATGTCGTGGCAGGATTAAGATTAATGAAAGAATTGTAAGACATTCAGCTTTTCAATATTTGAAGAAACTGATCAACCTTGTCTGGCCTTCAGCTTTTATTAAAATTTTCTTGTCTATGGACTTTAAACTAATCTGATGTGTTGATTAATGATAGAGAATATTCCCCTACCTGGAGGGTGAGACACAGAAATCTCCAACCAAATAGGTGATTTTTTCAGTTGTCAAATCGTTAGTAAGACAACCAAATAATCCCACCGAGGCTCAGACAATCAAATATACATGTATAAACTGGGGGGAAAAAAAAAAAAAAAAAATTATCATAAGGACTGATTGTCTAAGAACAACCATGATCTCATAGATATGCATATCTTTCCAGATATATCATAGCACACTATTCCATGGATATCTCAGAACATATTCTTCTAAAACAATTACTTTATTTTCAAAATTATAATTTATAAGTAATACCAGCCACGGCAATATTGCTCAAAAGGCTTACATGTCATAATTCTTGGAGATCATCGGGATATTTTATAAGTTATTATTATTTACCCCTATACTTATAAAGGGAAGGTTTGCTAGCAAAATAATCAGATCAACGTTTGATAAAAAAAATCAAATGATCTGTTACAGTTCTAATTAAAAACACACCCACATCTTATTATTGTTATTGTAATAAGAAGAATACCAAAATAAGCAGTCAAGTTTCAATCCAAGAATGATTTGACCAAGACTTTTGAAAGAGATTTTGGAAAGATATCAGGTGCTATAGTAAAAGGTACTGAAGGAATGGCACTCAACAAGAGAATGAAACTTGCTAATGTTGGCTAAATAGTGTAAATCAATCGAGTTTCATAAAAACATATGGTACAAAGAATTTCGACAACTCCTCAACATATTTTGTTTCTTTATCTCAATAGAGATACTTTTAAAAAGAAAAACTCTTATCAGCTCATTCACTTTTTGATAAAAATAAATATCAATAACTAATTGCAGTTAGATAAACATGATAAACAATGTAGAACCTCTTTAAATGAATAGAAAATTAGCATAATTTTGCAGGATAATTCAACATTTTATTGGTCTAAAATATGGCACTAAAGTAATACATGTACATAACAACTGAAAATCATCATGGAATTACTCAAAATAAAAAATCACCATATATTTCAAACAGATTTTCAGTACATTTTTAGTACTGCCCCAAAGGGAAACCTACATATCAAATTTGAGAAAGATCCCTTTGGCACTTCCCGAGAAATAGTGATAACAAACTTTCACTATCAAAATCCAAGATGGCTGCCTGTCGGCCATGTTGTTTATCCGATCAGTCTCAAAAGTTGCCCTGCACAGTTAAGTACCAAGGGAAACCTACATATCAAATTTGAAAAAGATCCCTTGGGTACTTCCCGAGAAATAGCGATAACAAACTTTCACTATCAAAATCAAAGATGGCTGCCCGTCGGCCATGTTGTTTAGCCGATCAGTCTCAAAAATTGCCCTGCACAGCTAAGGACAAAGGGGAACCGACATATAAAATTTGAGAAAGATCCCTTATTGAGAAATACCGATAACAAGAATTGTTTAAGGACGGACGACGGACCACGGACGCATGGTGATTTGAATAGCCCACCATCAGATGATGGTGGGCTAAAAACCCAACAGAAACTTAAAACAAAATATTAAAGCATTGTAGAAGATGACCCATTCCTTAATTATTCATAACGAACAACTTCCTGTTACATAGCTTTATTAGATATTTAATTTATTTATTGAATTTTGGCTCAAAATTCATATATAAACCAAATACTTCCTCAAGACTTAGATCGATGTCGCACTTAGTATTATTTACAAATATTTTTTGCCATGAACAACATCTGTTGTACAGAGTAATCATAGTGTAACTGCAGTCAGCCTGAGTGAGGTAAGGCAAGAGGAAGTATGCCCCTTTTATGGAATTCTCCTATTCTTTCGGTACTTTTGTCATGGCGGCGGGAATTGACACAAGGCGGTAGGTCGAAGGAAAGTCGCCTGTTTTCCCCACCTTGCGAAGACCTGACGAGGTTTTATATGCGATGCGGCA